TGTCTTGACTTGCACACAGCCTGCTTCAAATATGTGGACTACGACGGTCTATGCAGTGATAAACATATTCTATGCAGAATGCGCACACTATGCTCGTCTACATAGCATTGTACTATATAAGCAGCTACAGTCTGTAATTTTCACATAGACTCTGTGCAGTCTGGTAGCGAGCAAACCACCCTATGCAGACCAGTATTGCTTCCACATTCTCGATAAAGTGCAAAAGATACTTGGCATGATACTAGTGTACAGACATTGGTAAGGTGTGCACTCCATGTGCGTATACACCGTATAGATTGTGTAGAATATAGTAGTCTCTGTATATAACCTTACATTCTAGACAACAATAATGTATACAGTTTAACCGGAGTACGTGGCAGTTATCGTTTATTCAGAATGCTATTAAACGTTTAATATGCTGGTTTAGTGCTGTTTATTCTGTTAGTCTAGATCTTGAATAATTTTTCACGCTTCAAAGCAAAAATATATAGTTTAAATTTAAGTTTTACCACCCAATCGTGAAAGTAAGCAAATAGTTGTTGAATGCAGGTCTGAAACTCGCCAGTGGGCCGAGAGGTATTAGAAATGAAACAATAAGCAGGATCATGTCAGGTTATCATACGTTAATTAATATGGAAGTTTCAAAACCCAAGAACAACATTTCTTTATCAGCGTGACGTTGATACGGTTATTAGCAGTTTTGTCACGCTGGTAAAGTTATACCGTTACAAGGTTCTGAAATCTCAGAGTGAAATGAATATTTAACATCATAGCTTACTACTGTTTATTGTCTTCATGTTAGACACGGGATCCTTTGTTTTTTCATATCTTTTATCCATTCTGCTTCGCTGTTAGTTACGATCATTTTCACCCAACCTCGATGTGGATGCTTCTCAGTCAAATGTCAATTGTCCTCTTAAATTTTCATTTCTCTGTCCCTGCTCGATGACTCATCTGAGTCAATATATTGTGAAAGGGTGCATACGATCCCTTGGACGCCAGTAGTTCATTGCTGAAGTCTGCCGCAATGTGACATGTCCACTCTGTCTTTTGATCATACTGTAAGCATATTTTACCGGTTTAGAACGCGTAACGATCCGAATCTTATTCGGGATTTTAATCGCAACTGAAAAGAATGCTTTTTCGTACAGTTTGATGTTGGCTGGCCTCTACGAGATGAACTGTCTTTAAAGAGTACAATGCTTCAGACGTACGTGTATTACTGAACGAAAGGGGAAATTATTTTCTACCTGATGAACGACTGCAAAGTAAATTGCATTCTGCTTCAGAAGCGAAACTGTTTCGTGAGGCGCCTGTTCCGGAGTACGGAAAGGTGAGACACGTTTCGCTCCCCGGGTAATATGACCACTGAACAGTATTCTGTTGACCATCGCCAATGACGCCCGGTTTTTCCAGACAATCAGCAGGAACGGTTG